AGTTGTACAGGAACGATGCAGCGGATGCAGAGTGAGAAGAGCATCCTGGATGAACCAGACTCTCCTCTCGAGGTTAGTTGAATGATGTTGACCTTCATGATGTATTTGTGTATCGAGTTTCACTGATGAAATAGCAATGCCGTTTGACAAAGCATTCAGCACCACGGACAGCGTCTACGTTTACTTCGGTTTATACATTTACTGCTTTTGTTCAATCCAAGCCGTGTCATTTGACGGTGTTTCTTCACTAAATACATAGTAGGAAAAGTGATCATGTTCTCACTTTACGTTTCCTTCCAGTGACATGATTTTGTTTAATAAATTCATCGTGTGGCTACGAGGGACACTGTATGGCAAAAGTTTTAACACAAAGTAGAACCCAACACACACACACATACACACGCGCGCACACACACTTTTGCTTGACAATATAATGGTGACTATATTTCTAACTGGTATTTCCCTGCCTATTATCAATGACAACGCTCGAATACAGATGTCTTTGTTCACCCATTTTTGACTCTGTCGAGTTCTTACGTTCTGCATCATTCTTTGGAATACCTCGCAAGTTGCTGAATAACACTAGGGTTTATTGATTATGGGTATTGGATTTTATATATATTTATAAAGATGAAAATGTTGCTTTTTTTGTGATTTTACTCCTTCTGTGCCGAGTGTTCTGTTCGCTGCTGGTGTGAGCGTGAAATGTAATCATTTTTGGATTTTGCTGCTTGTTGATTTTACCACAGAGCTTTTATTTTTACACAAAATGCTGATGAAAAACATGTTCTAACTCATATATTTAGTCGGATGCTTCAAGTCACTTCCATTTTTGTCGCCTCACCAGATAGAAAGTTGTTCACGTTGGGCATTGCACATTGCTGTAATGAGCGATGTACTGGAGTTTCATCTTTTAGACTCTAAGGGACGCTGTTGGTCAGCAAAACATTTGCTGTGTTGCGTCCTGATCCAGTCCATCCCCTCACTGCGTATACAGAGAGGAAAGGTTGCTGTGTTTTGTCGAGGTTTCGAGCGACCGCGGATCTGTAGACTTGCATCTAACGTGAAGGACTGTTTTTTTTTTTATCGGGAAACAGATACACTCGGACCTATTACAACGACATATTAACAGGTTAATGATCTATTTTTCCCCCGCTTTTTCCTTTAATGATGACGAGTGAGAGATTTCTGTCCTCCATATCATTAAGATGGCGATTGTTATGTGGACTGCGACGGCAAATCGGACTCCTTATTCTGCTGCTTCATGTGTTTAACATGGTCGGTGGTCAGATCCGGTATTCTATTCCAGAGGAGATGAAGAAAGGCTCTGTCATCGGTAATGTAGCGCAGGATCTAGGTCTGGATCTGAAGAGACTCCGCTCTGGGCG